TTGCGCCGTGTCGGTCCTGCCTCCTTCAGTGCGATGTGAGACTCGGGGGGAGCATCGCTTGCCAAAGGCTGTAGTTGTTACATGCGTCCAATAATCTTCTTCTCCAAAATGGATTTTAGTCAGAGCAATTTATTTGGCTACATAGAAGACCTGCAGGAACTAACTATTATAGAGAGGCCCGTACGCAGGAGCCTGAAGGTATATACTTCAAAATAGAACGATGCTTTAAAATCTATTTGAAATTGTGTCTGTTTTATTTATGCACCGCTAACTGAATAGGCAATTTATTTTTTACAGCACCAGGATACTAAAAATTGTTTTCAGTTGTTTTGGAATAAACAGTCTCGAATTCTATGTACCAGGGACTTAATATATCCAGTATATGAATATTAAGCTGGGGAAAACCGGACTAGCTTAATTTATATATGATTTCTTTATACTTTAAGTGATTAATATTGATAGTGTCTGACATAGAACTGTACTTCTATTACATCCTGTCTTTTCCTGGTGAAAGATTTACTTGATTGAATTTGAAATGTTGGCTAGAGATTTCAAGGATTAAATTCAAATTACTCATGAAACTATCCCTGGGTATGTGGGGTGGAAGGGGCTGTTTTAAGAAGATTAAAATGATGAAATAGTAAGGCATGTAAACTCATAATCTCTATTTCACGCTTGACAGACACCAGAAGAAATAGAAAGACTGACAGTTGATGAAGAACTCAGTGATATTGAAAGGGCTGTTTATCTGCTCAGGTATTTCCTAAAATATTACCTTGAAACATTGCTGAGCATCGTACTTACATACAGCTGTTTTAGTGCTTTACTCTTCACTCTTTTTATTTTCTGTCTTTAGTAGCAGTTTTTTTAGTTTCTGCTATGTTAAACGTATAAGCAAGATAAAATAGGTACTGTAATTTTCTTTTAAAAATTCATAGAATAGGATGCCTACGTGCATGTATAAACATTTATTTTCTGAGTTTCTAATATGGCCCTCACCAACACTGAGTTATACTTCATCTTCTTTTCCCCTGCAATTGATTTTGCAAGATTCCCTGGGTATTAACATTAATAACACCCAGTCATTTGGTGACTTCATATTCACTCTAAGGCATGGGCAGTTACCACAGACTGATAACAGAGCTGTTTGAGCATACTGTATATGTCTGGGCTTTCAGAAGAGAAAATTTGAGAGATTAGTTTTATAGCCCTTAGGGAACACTGAAGAAGATACTGTATTAATACTTTCCTCTGTTCTGGTTTTTCATTTTACCCTCTTCTTCTTGTTCTTTAAAGTGTTTATTTGGAGCTACTTGAATAACTTAAATTTTGATCGTTTAAAATACAGATCTTTCAACTACTGTGTAAGTCATCTTTGAGAGTACAAATGTTCTGGCAGATTTTTGATTTGAAGATGCATTTTTAAACAATACTTGGTAATTGGAGAACCAGCTGTAGCTCCCTTGCAGTTTGCTTATTCTGCTATTTTAAGAGCTTTTCTAGTCTATGCCTGGCCTCAATGTTTAAAGTAGATATTCTCGGTGCCTTAATTTTCTTTTTTGGGGGCACGTGGCATTATTTTGAGGTAAGCATTTTTGTCTACATTGGATACTACTTTTGATACTGTGCTTTATTTTTTTTAATGCTGAACTTTATTAAATAGTGGATTTTAGAACTTTCTTTGTTAATAGTTACTGTAATCAAGGCAGTCTGACTAGGGAAATTCAAAGGAAACAGTTTGTACGTGGTGCATATCATTTCAAAGGATGCATATCAGTTTTGGCTTTTACCTCGCAGCAGTTAGCATAGTTGAATTTTTTTTTTTTCTTTCCCTGTGTGGGAGCATATTTCTTTGCTCTTTTCCCAATTAAAGATTGTGTTTCCAGCAATATGTCTTTACTGGGGCATTGCCTTGTTAAAGGCTAAAAGGTTCCACTTCATATCTTTCATTTTACTAATTGCTTTTCAACCTGGCCTTGAACTTCTGACATCTTCATCTGCTTTCTCTGTATTTCAGCAGCTGTTCTGGGGACATAATACTATCTTCCTTGTGATAAAGTTTTCATTTTTGCCTCTGCATTGTCCTCATTGGTGAAAGGTAGCTTCATCTCTGCTTGATAAGCTTTTTGTTAGGCAATTACTTGCTGTGATTGTCCGGGTTTGTTAATACAATAATCCAGTGGAAGCTTTTGCTGTTCAATAGTATGTTGCCTTCCCTGCACTGAGTGGAGTTTAAGCAAACAGAGTTGAAAAGCTGCCTGTAACACGGGTAATATCCTTTATATGATGTACAGAAGTATGTGTTTCTGGTCTATCTGGCATTTTTTTAATCTATCGTAATACAATATCCCTGCCTATTCCTGTTTGATAATATTGGCAGTCTGGTCTTTTCATGCCTCGTTTTCTCACACAGATGCATCACTTGCTGTCCTTCAGGTTGTCCCTTGTGTGGGACTCTCCTTGATCTTATCCAAAAAGACACTGCCTTTTCTGAAAATCCCGCTGTAAAAATTGCTTTGGTGAGATTGAAATGAATTGTTATTGCCTGTGTTGTGCTCCATTTGTAAAGGATGATGCTATCTCCATATACATAAAAAAATATGCAAGAACAATAATAGAAAGCAAATCTCTTACTTTAAATATCTACAAATAGTAACACAATACCTAATGCTGTGTCACATTCTTTTATATTCTCACTGATTTATGTAACCCTAATCTGAAAGTTGGAGATTTTTCATTTACTGAGGAGGATATCTTTAGTGTTGTTTGTACAGTACAATGGAGCTGACTAATACTGAGTGAAACCTTTGTGTGAAAGTCTAAAAAGAGTCCTCACATTTTACTGGCTTTCATTCTGAGCAAAAAAGCCCAACACTTTCTTTCCTTTTTGCATTCTGTTTTCCCTCCAAAACCTGCCCCCAGCTTCTTCTCTTGACCCTTGAACTTGGATACTCTGGTCTGCTTATATGCAGCATTGTTGTATGTTTAGTAGATACTTGCTTTTTCTAGATTTCTGCTTCTGAAGTCTTTTACCACTGTAGTCTGAAAATAGGTACATTGACATCCTAGTTGGACACAATAGTACAGCCTTTTACTGTGAGAGGTTTTTGGTGCCTGAATAATGCTTTTGTTTGTTTCGTTTTTGTTTGGTTTTGGGTTCTTTTTTCCCTTGATTTTGTGTCTGGTGTTGGTTTGTTGTTTGTTTGTTTGTTTCTGTAACAGTTGCTATACTGTGTATATGAGGATGTATTAATTTTCCGGCTCTCATCAGTTCATTCTTCTTTTTTCACTTCTTGTGTTACTTCTCATTTGCCAGTAATACTATGGAGTTTCTGGCATGCTCTTTTACTTCTTGATATTGTAAAGTTATTTGTTTTGCTCTTCCAGTATGTATTTGTATCCATCTGGTGATTATTTTGTATTTCTGCAATGTCTTGTCTGTCTGTATCTAGCCATGATGTATTGTCATAGATTTTGTAAATTTCTGTTCGTTGTCTTCTCATAAATATGACATAAATATATGTCTACAAATGTTCTTAGCACATGCTGAGTACATTGACACATTAATCCTGTTTGAAACCTCACTTTCACAGGAATGTTGCTTCATTTTAATCGGTTTTCTATTGTTACCTGTTATAGTTTGGTTTTGCATTCTAAAGTGCTAATTGTAATTCTGATAATCCTAAAAAGTTTGTACAATTACTATTTTTAAGGGATTACTTTGCTTTCAGTCTCCCCCTTTCTGCCAGTACTATTCTTCAGGTAACTATGTAATGATGTAGATTGACAAGATGATCTTTTTAGCCAGATTATTTTTCAGCTGAATCAACTCCTTGATTTGGCTCATCATGTGGATATAGAAACAGTTGTGCAAGCACAAGAAAAAGACTCAGTAACTCTTCTGGTGGCCAGAGTCACTTTAACATGACAAGCATGGATGAACTTCAATTTTAGATCCTTGTTGCCCAGAGTACTTAGTTTTAATTGGGTAACATTATAGAATCATGCCACATCTACACGTCTTTTAAATACCTCCAGGGGTGGGCATTGAACTACTTCCCTGGGCAGCCTGTTCCAGTGCTTGACAACCCTTTTGGTGAAGAAATCTTTCCTAATGTCCAATCTAAACCTCCCCTGATGCAACTTGAGGCCATTTCCTCTCATCCTATTGCTTGTTACTTGGGAGAACAGATGGACCCCCACCTCACTACAGCCTCCTTTCGGGTAGTTGTAGACAGCAATAGGGTCTCCCCTGAGCCTCCTGCAATTAGATTGAGCACCTTCTAATTTAATAAGAATGTGGTAGCAAATTGGACTGTCGTTCGTTGTAATCTCAATTAACCTTGATTCTGGTTGAGGAACTGGGCTTCCTTAGACCAAGTTGTCAGGGATGTTGATGAACTTGCCATGGAAATCAAATTATTTACGTGCTTAAAGAGGGAAAGGCATCTTAGCATCTAGGATCTATGCTTTAGAGTTTCAGCCTGAGTGCTTGGGGGTTTCTGGAGGGTCTAACTGGAATCACTGAAGAGTTGAATTCTGACTGTGTTTTGGAAGTTGCTGGCCCAACAGAAGAACAAGGAGAGCGAAATAGCTATGTGCATCTCAACAATGTTGGTTTCAAGATCTATGGCTTGTTGTAAAACCATTATCAAATTAAGAAAAGCTGCCAGACTTTGCACCAAAGCAACTGAATAGTTTGTATTCTGCTTGAGGGCATCGTGACCTCTACCAGGACAGTGGCAATAAGCAGCTTGGGGCAGTAATTTTTATTCCTGCTGTGAACTTTTGCCTGTAGTCTTAGTTTCTGTGTTTGCTGATGTTTGGCTGATGTTTGACTGATGTTATTACTTATTTTTGTCTTACTGTGGCTCACGTTTTATGGCATACAGCCAATAGCAAAATATATATTCTTTGCCTGATGTTAATCTGGTTTGGATACAAGGATGCTTACTGGCATGCACACTGTAGCATGGTTTGTTTTCTGAGAGATTTTCTGATAGATTTCCCTAGGGGGTTTACATTGTTGTGCGTACTGTATTATTTTGTATTCAGCTACTTTTTGTTTATTTGTGCTTGCTTAGTGTTAAAGCTTCCAGGCCTTGACGTTTTTGTCATACTCAACAGGGTAATAATGAGTTATCAAGGTGGAAGATTGAATTATTCACCCTTTTGGGAACATACTGTACTTTGGTTTTGGAGTGAGCCTATATCTCTGTTTAGGGAACAACACAACCCCCCTTAAACGTTTAGCACAGATTTTGAAGAGACAATAGGTACTTTATCTAGACTGGAAAGAATTCAATGCCTATAAACTTAGCATGTCTTTAAAAAAAAAAAGTTGTACTTCATTGTAGCCATCTTCGATTAGCTAGAGTATTCTCATTCTAAACAACTTTTTCTACAGTATATGTTGTTAATGTGATTATCAAAACCATTGCTAGTTAAAAGACTATTTTTTTAAATTTTCCTTCTAGTTTTTAGTCTTCATCATGTTAGTTGTGGAGATTTTATTTTCTTTCTAGGTGCAGGCAAATCACCTTTGAATTTAAGTGAAAGCTTTCATTTAAATGTAACTTTAGGAGCTGATTTTCTAATATAAACATTGTGTCAATTTTTTTGTGTTACATAATCATAAGACCTGGCTACTTTATTCCAATTCTACAGCTTCTGAATTTACGGTCCTGATGCATACACAGTATACTGAAAGATCCAGCTGTGATGCTAAGCACATTGGAAAATATATTCCAACTATA